TACACTGAGGTGTTTGAAAATTTATGTAATTCTTATGAATTATTATAAATAAATATTACTTTATTTGTTTTATTGGTAAAATGTTTTTTTAGTCCAATAACTGGACCCTTATCATTTTAGTTCCGTAAGTGGAATCTGTCGCAAACTAATCCTATAAGTGAAAAAACTTCGTTGTTTTAGTCCTCCGGCGCCGGAGATGCCCGCGTGGCTCACCGGAGATGACGTGTCCGCTAAGTGTCCTGCCAAGTCAGCGACACCTGACAGACACGTGGATTTTTTTTTTTTTCAATTTTTTTTATTTTTTTAAATTAAATCAAATTAAAAAATTAAAAATATATAAATAAAATTAAAAATAAATTAAAAATAAGTTTTAAAAAAAAATAATAAAAAAATCCACGTGTCCGCCGGGTCAGCGCCAGGTGTCGCTGACCTAGCGGACACGTCACCTCCGGCGAGCCACGCGGGCGTCTCCGGCGCCGGAGGACTAAAACAACGAAAAATTTTCACTTATGAGACTAGTTTGCGACAAGTTCCAATTACGTGACTAAAATGATAAGGGGGTCCAGTTATTAAAAGGTTGTCATTTTTTATTTTTATTTGTTTCAAAATAAAATTATTATTTTTTAATTTTGTAACTGTACTATCCACCTAACATAATAAATACCCTTCAAACTTACAATATATTACACAAATATAATTACTTTTATATTACACAATACTAATAGATGTATCTATATCATTTTTATTACAACTCAATATAATACTAATAATATAAAATCTACTTGCAAAACGTAAACGTCACTCTTTCAATGGGACGGACGGGGTATTATTATTTAAAAAAATTATACTATCTCTATCACTTAACAAACTATTAATCTATTTTGGTCTTTTTTTATAATAAAGTATCTATTTCATTTTTATTAACTGTATTATCTACCTAATAATACAAATATTTTTTTAATTAACAATATATTACACAAATGTTATTATTTTTATATTATACAATACTAACAAGATTAGTTTAATTTTTTATCTTTGTTTTTATATATCATAATATAATATTAATATTTTTAAAATTATATGTAAAAAAATAAACGGATAAATAGATACGAGACGGATTAATCTGCCAAAAATATTAATGACATAACATAAATAAATAAATGAATCAATTAATTATATACACAGCCTACTAATTAATGAATGATTCAGAAATACAGTATATATTAACAAAAGTCTTTGCCAAACATTCTTGACCATCATTGACACTATCCATCACCTATTCAACCTAAGTTGTAACCCTAATGAATGCCTCTCAAATTCTCTATCCACACACACACACATCATTTATTTATTTTTCTAATTTCTATTATTATATAAATATATTTAATCTTATATTTGACATATTATTATTTCAGTCATTTAAGTGAAATAAATATATATATATATAAATTATTCTATGTCTAATTTGTAGTAGTTGAGAATGTCTTCTAATAGCACATATTTATTACTTCCACATTAGATGTCTGAGTCACTATAGACACGATAATTTATGATAAATATAATTAGTAGATTATTAAGAATGTATTAGTGAAAATAATTATCAGATAATTAATTAATTTAATTAAAATTAAAAAAATAAATTAAAAAGTTTAAAATAAGATTAAAATGTATAATCATTCTTCAAAAAGAAAAAAAGTGACATGGGACGTAGGACGGACAAAAACGGCAATGTAAATATAATAGGTGGGACGGAGGGAGTATTATTATTATTATTATTATTATTATTAATTTAAATAGCTTAGTTTAATTAATTAATGTGAATGTTTGTACAATTAATTTAAATAGCCTAGTTTAATTATTATTATTATTATTATTACCAAGGAATTCTGCGAATTACACTTGTTTTAGTCAGACCAAATTCAAGTGGTTGGCTGAGTTAGGTGGATTACTCGAATTGAAAGATACCATTTTATTTATTTATTTACATATGTGTGTGGATGAAAAGAAAATAATTCATTTAATTATGTCACAATGTGATAAATAGTTAATTCCAGTCAATCCAAAATGTAATAGTGAATTCTGGTGTATGCAGCCACATATACATAAATATATATATTTAAATTGAGAAGTGTTTGTTTAATTCTATCACTTTTTATATATAAATATATATACATATATATTTAAATAGTAGTTCGGATATTATATTTTATAAAAAAGAAATATATATTTATAAGAAATTACAAGCATTATACAAAAAAAAAAAAAAAGGCAAAGTGAACAAAGCCTTTGGTTCTTTATTTAGAAAAGAATAAGTTGAATAAATACTCCCTCCGTCCCATGTAATATGGGTGGGTGTATTACTGTAGACACGAGAATTTAGGTAAAGTATAATTAGTAAGTAATTAAGAAATATATTAGTAAAAATAATTATTATTTAGTTTAAGATTAAGATTAAGATTAAGATAACTAAATAGTTTAATTAAGATTAAAAAAAATTTAAATTTTAAATTTTAAAATATGATTAAAGTGTATAATTAATTTTTCAAAAAATAAAATGACAAATTATATGAGACGGACGAAAATAGAAAATAGGAATAAATTATGTGGGACGGAGGGAGTATTTAGGGAAGAAATTCACATGGAAGGAAAGGTGGCGAGTCTATCACTAGCATTGGAAATTTAGGATAGATGTGAATCTAGAATAAATAAATAAATAAATAAATCAAGAGAGATCCAAGTCGAAGACTTGAAGTAGGCTAAAAGGTGAATTTTAGTCACATCATGTATTAGAATTGTAAGAAGTTTGAATATTATTGTAATAAGTATAGAACATTAAAAAGAGTTGCAGTTTCTGTGCTGATATAATCAAATCACCGTAGTACATAATACAATATATATTATGTTATAAAATAACATGTAATATGTTATAATATAATATATGTTGTATTATAAATATATTGAGATATGTATAAATATATGTTGCTCACTCATATAACATATACCTGTTCGACAAATAATGACATAAATTCAATTGAGTTTGAATTGGATAATTAAATTCTACTTCTCTTGAAAAATTAAAAGATTAAATAGTTAACATAGTATATTATAAAATATTTTCTCCGTTCTACTTGGGACGTCCAACAACTATGGTCCTATTTTCTTTTTTAAACACAAAATTTACATTTTTACCCTTCATTCATTTATTATTTTTAATCTTTACCATACATTTCAGGACAAATTTGTCAATTCATAACGAAAACACAATCACCTGAAAAACCGTGCAAATCTACTTTAGGACAATAGAAATTGAACGGAGGGAGTACTATTTATGTCATTCAATTATGTATTTCTTTTATAAATACGAAAAGAATAAACACAAAATTTTATGACGGATGAAGTATAAGAACACAAAATTAGTATTTCAACCGTCTCTCTCTCTCTCTCTTTTTAAAGTAGATTTCTTATGTAATGATATTCTTTTGAAAATCTCTTTGATAGTTCATCCATTTTTCATTTTTCTCCGTCAAGTCTTCAAACATATGTTTAGCCAAGGTGTCATACATAGCCCACATAGTCTTGAAATCAACAAGTAAAAAATTAGGATGCATTTAGTTATAAGTTGAAATTTAAATTGGATTAAATAGCTTTCATAGGATATGACAATATTGTGACGGATTAGGATTAGTGACCTAATAAAATACATAAAAGTAAAAAAGATACGGATTTATGTGGTTTATCAACAATGTGTTAGTTATGTTTATAAGCAGAAACGAAGAACAAATTTATTGAGTACGACTGCATTACATATTACAGATTTTATATATCTAAATCTATTTTAAATAAATTAAGAGAATACGTGAGACGAACCCGGCAACTCAAATACTCAATACTGCATACCGTCGATGATATATTTAAGGCATATCAATAAATAATCAGTAATATAATTGGCTTTCGAACTTCAAGAGAGGGGGAGGGGATGTCAGTTCATTTCCTTTGTATATTTTGGATGGAGGGAGTATTATTTTTTAATTTATTAAAAAAAAAAATTTTAAAATATATATTCTAATAGGACTGAGGAAGGATATATTTTTATTTAAAATTAAATCAATTAAAATGTAGTGATTTAGATTGAAAATCATGATGTATGAAATTATGAATGTCTTAATTAACTAGTAACTGTCTTTTCTTCTGTCCAAAGTCTTGATGGCTAGTTTAGAGTTAGGTTAGGCTTGACCTGGACAATTATTATTATTATTATTATTGCTCTTTATAAGAGAAAAGTGAATAAACTTGAAAACTGTCATCAAATATCTCAAGATCAGATGTTTGAAATATATTATATTTTATAAAAAAAAATAATATATTTTTATTGAAAATTACACAAAAAAAAAATAAAATAAAATAAAATAAAAATAATAATAATAATTTTGAATAAAAATCAAAGAACCTGTGTATGAAAATAAAATTTATATAATATTAAAGGCACTATCATATAATTTCATTTGTTACACAATAAATTGTTAGTTTACTTTTGAATTAGTTTGTTGATCGTTAAAGAATGATCTGATGGTGTGAGATTGGATGTGTGATTGCGCACTTTCGGTAGCATATATATAATATTTTTTCTATTTTATAAGTAAATATATATTTGCTTTTTGCACGTAGTTTTAAAAATATTAATATTATATTATAATATAATAAGAATAAAGTAGATATGACTAAAGTAACGTGTGATATAAATATAATAATATTTGTTTAATATATTATAAATTGTAAAGATATTTATAACGTTAGAAATATAATACAATTATTAAAAAAAAATGGATACCTTATTATGAAACAAACTAAAATGAAAAAAAATAAATACTTTGTTATGGACGGAGAGAGTAAATAAAATAAGAAATCTATACTAAATACTCACCATTGTAATCAACACACAAGATAAGATGGTATTCTATTAGAACAAACCTTAAACATATTTCTCATAATAGAAACAAATTAAAACACAAAACATAGTACTTTATATATCTTTACCAATTCCCTTCCAAAAATTGAAATCGAAGACCAAATCCGTCAAACCATACGTGAAAACATTTTATGTACATCCCAACTTCGATCAATCCTTTTCCTCTTCAAACACAAATTCAAAACAACAACACGGCCGTGCTCAATGCCAGAAAGAAAAAAAAAAAAAAAAAAAAAAAAAAAAAAAATCAGTCCCTACATTATATATATATATATATATCCAGTAGAATTTACCATAACTCAAAGAAACTCGGATTTAACGACTAAAAATGTATCCTGCTCGGCTGCGCCTTCTCCATCCGCGTCTCCCCGTAAGGCTCGTCATTATCGATCCGTTTGTTGTGCCTAAAAGCGGCGCAGGCGACGACATAGACAATGACGAGGATGATGAGTATGACGATGTTTATTACGGAGACTTTCCGCCAGCTCGTCTTCAGACTCGCCAGCACGCCGGCTTTGCACGAGTCACAGTTATAGCAAAGCTGGTCTTGATTGTTGCTCCAACGTTGGCAGTCCATGTCCATTCCCATCACCCCTTGTCCGGCTGTCCAAACCGTCTCGTTCACGTACGAGTAGCCGCATGACGTCGGAGGCTTACAACATCCAGACTGTAAGAACATTCGAACCGCGAGTTAACAAATTGTTTCGTTTATAATACATTTACATATATCGATCTTTTTTCCTTACGTCAATTTCTTTTTTTTTTTTTTTTTGAATTAAAAAGAAATGAAAATATGAAATCCAAGAGAATTTGGTTATTGGTTCGATACCCAAACAAGAAATTTTACTAAACCATAATCAAGGGATTATGACAAAAAAACTAAAATATACTCCTTTTATTATTTAAATTTATGGTAATTTTTTTTCGTAATAAAAAAATATTTTTATTTTCTTTTTTAATTAAAATACTAATCCCTTCATTTTCATAAAAAAAGTACCATTTCTCATTTTCGTGTGTCTCAAAACAAGGATACCATTTTCTAATTTAATAATTATATTATCATCTAACATAATAAATACCCTTACAATTTACAATATATTACACAAATGACACTGCTTTTATATTACTACAATCTAATATAATACTAATATTTAAAAATATATGTGCAAAAAATAAACGTTACTATCTTTATGGGACGGATGGGTTATTTTTTCTATTTTTATATTATAAAAGAAAGAAAATATATTTTTACTCATTTTTTTTAAAATTTGTGCCCAATGAAACTGACATAAATATCGATGACAGATGGAGTATACAAAATTGAAACCGTGGACCTATATCTGCATATCCCGACGAACTCTAACCCTATTCATATTTTTGAATTTGTTATCGGGATTCACAATCTAACATTGGACTTTCGACATCTAGGACTATTAAAATCGCAAGTTATCGAGATTAGTTATATTCGACTGACAACTAAAAAAGGCATTAGCATTTCATCAATGGTCGAGCCCAAGCTCAAACTATTATCGAGTCGAGTAGGCTCAGCTCGATAAAGTTCGATAAAATAGTAAAATATAAAGCTCAAGCTTGTTCATAAAATTAACGAGCTTAGACTAGATAAAAGCTCGAATTGAGTTCAACCATGAGATACGTTTTACTAGACAATAGCAATGCGTATACTTCACATATAGAATACGCATTTTGTGTAACTTAGCGAGTGAATGTCCGCGTTATTTTGTTATAAATATACAAATAAACTACAAAATACAACAAACGTAAAGAGAATAACTCAAAATTTACGAGCGAAAAATTATTTTCGGGTCCTATATATTTTTATTTAATTCACTAAAGTCGCTCAATTTAAAAAAGGTAGCACAACAATCACTCACATTCGTCATTTTTTCGACTCGTCCTATATATGTCACTCGATTCACTACCATATCTCAACTAATAAGCGTAGCACAACCATCGCCGATTATGTAAACATTACGGAATAATAATTCTTTTTTTTGTCATTTTTTGACTCATCCGATAATGTTTCACTTGATTCACTACCGTCACAAGACAAACAAAAGTAGCGTCGCCGCTTATAATCCCAAACTATCTTTTATCATTTGTTGCGAAAACTTATTTTCATCAGCAAAGATCACATTAGAAGCTTGTGACAAAAAACAATGAAGTTAGCTTTATAACAAAGAACATATTCTTCAGAAATTTTCCTCTTTTTAAGCTTACCCAAATTTCCACAGCTAAAAATTGCATATATTTTTCAGTAAAAATAAACTTTTTTTTTTTCTTTTTTGCAAAAGAGCACATCAAACAATTACCTAGAAACAACAAAAACTACTAAATACAAAAATGGAGTATTACAATTCTTTATAATATTTTCATAATTTTCAATGACTAATATTTCCTCCGTCTGTCAAAATTATATAACTATCTCTTTTTTGGTTGTGCGCTCTTATGCATAACTTATGGTCCCTCCGTCCCAAAAGTATAGTCTTATTGTGTTAGAAACGAAATTTAAAAAATATTGATATTATATTGGTAGTCGGTAAAAAGGATAAATGACTATTTTGCCCTTGTAAGTATATTAGTGTAAAAAATAGTGACAATTGTGTAATAGTAATAAAAAAATATGAATAATTTTATGGTGATATAGTTATTTATGAAAATAAGACTATTTTTTTGGGACGGAAAAAAAATGGTAAACAAAACTATTGTATTGGACGGAGGAAGTATATGGTAAATAACTTTACACACCTACAATTTTATTACTTGTGCTTTAACAAATAATAGTCAATTTGCCACTGCTTTTTTCTGTTTATCCCACTATTTTTTATCAAAATTTTAATAAATCTTCTATAGTATTCCATTCTACTTTTTATCTACCGTACTTTAATATTAAAATGTTATTTTTTCTTAGTGTCTCTATATTCAACCAAACCTACATAATTTTAGTGGACGGTAAAAACAACAAAAATCCAAAAAAGTGCAAAACTAAGGCTTATAACATTAAATACATACTCCCTCCGTCCCAAAAGAGTTGTCTTGTTTCGTCCGTCCCAAAACAATTGTCATGTTTCCTTATTTAGTAACCGTGGTCCCCACTTTATAACAAAATTATTCCTATTTTTCCAAACTACCCATAATTATTACTCTAACCTACTTTTTAAAATCTTTAAAAAAAATAAGAACATTTTAGTCTTTTACATTATATTTTATACTCACTTTCAATTAAATACTATTATTCCTTAATTCTCGTATCAACTCCCAATAAGACGCATCTTCTGGGACGGAGGGAGTATATATTAAGAGTATAATTACTATATACATGTAATACTCCCTCCGTCCCAGGTAAAGTGTCCAAGTTACCGTATATACGAAAATTTAGGTAAAATATAATTATTATATATAAATTAAGATTAAAATAACTAAATAATTTAATTAAAATTAAAAAAATTATAAATTATAAAATTTAAATAAGAAACACAACAAAATCAATCTGATAGCACAAAAGTCGTCACGGTAATCGAACTAACTTAAATACATTATTGCATACAGTCATGTGTTACATCAAAGATATTTTCTTGATCCGATGAGGTGTGCACAAAATCATTAACTAAGTTGACCAAATATCTTTTTAATTTTTTTCAATTATTAACACTAATAATACTACTTCAATAATTCTAGTGCAATTTTCTTGCCAAAAAAATGTGTGCATATTTATGACGAAAGTTGTCCACACCAAAACAAAACCCAAATTTTAGGTCACATATATTGTGGGCCAGTAAATTGTATTGGGTCCCACCAAGACACCCCACCCACCCACCCCATCAAAGCAACTGTGTGGTGTGGGCATTACTATCTCTTAAAAGTATATATATATATATATCTCCGTCGGAGATACAATGTCCATGTTGCCGTTTCTGTCCGTTCCACATACCATGTCACTTTTTTTTAAAAAAAATATTACACACTTTAATTTCATTTTAAATTTTTTAATTTTATTTTTTTATTTTAATTAAACTAATTAATTATTTTAATCTTAATTTAAATTATTTATATTATAAAATAATTATTTTCACTAATACATTCTTAATTATCTACTAATTATACCCCTCCTAAAATATCGTGTCTACAGTGTAGCATACACGATATCTGGGCGGAGGGAGTACAAAAAATTAATTAAAATAATTTTTTTAAAATAAAACTTTTTTTATTTTTTTAATTATAGAATTATGGGATGCTTTTTAGGACAGTACAAGTAGCACTGACCACCTAGGCCTAGCTATGTTCAACCTCTAGGGAGACCAGGATGGAAACATTTGGAAACTCCCGGGATCTCAACTCCCAAATCCATTGTATGAATAATGGCATGGGCCCCACATTATTTTGGGAGTTTAAATCCCGGGAATCACTCATAGGCCACATGAACATGAATGAAGGTGCAATTCATCCACAATTTACTCAATCAATTAATTAATTAATTAATATTTATATATATATATATATATATGCAAGACAAAGACCATAACTATGGGTAGCTTCGTACGAAACATACAACACATTATTAACAAGAAAGAAAAAGGGATATTTTGATTTTTCACGTAAAGGGCTCATACAGCACATGAGCTATTAAAGTATAAATAAAAACACATACATATATATTAACATAATACAAATAATTATGGGTTGGTAAAAATAAAATATTTTTATCATTTTGAATAAAATTAATAATAAAAATATATATTTTGACGTTTTTAATTAAAATTTGAAAATATTAACTTAATACCAAAATACCTTTTAATTTTTATTTAAATTAAAAATATACTATTACACGTATACTTTGGGTGTGTTTGTTTGAAGGATTTTGGTGGATTTCCACTATTCATCCAATTTTTTCCCCCCAAAAACATCAAATCAAACACTTATTTTTTATTTTTTATATTATACTAAAAATCAATTTTACATTCAAAACATCACATCAAACCCTATTTATATCACATCATACAACTATTCAAATTCAAAATTTTTACTATTCAAATCCCAACTCAAAATCCAAACCCCCAAACAAACACACCCTTTATATATAAAATCAATGGCAAAAATATCAACACTCTTACACATTTGTACCAACTAATAAAATATTACTCTATTCGTTCTTTAACAATCTATCTATTTTTTCATTTTAGTCGATCCTATAACAAAATAATATTTCCTTTTTATAGTAACTGTAATATCTACTTAGCATTACAAATACCCTTCCAATTTACAATTTGTTACACAGATTCTATTACTTTTATATCATACAATATTAATAAAGTTAATTTAGTCTTTTTACCTTTATTTCTAAAACATATCAATATAATACTAATATTTCTAAAATTTTGTGACAAAATAAAAGTAAATGAATAGATAGATATAAGACGGAAGAAGTAATATTTCTTAATTAACACGAAATCCCTAAGAGGTCTTTTTGAATTGAAACCGATAAAGTATTCCCACCATCCCAATAGAGTTGTTTTGTTTTTTCATTTTAATCAGTTCCAAAACAATTGTGTTTTTTCCTTACTTAGCAACTGTAATCTCCATTTTGTAACAAAATTATTCCTAATTTTTCAAACTACCCTTAATTATTCATCTAACCTACTTTTTAAAATCATTCAAAAGCAATAGTTTTTTAGTCTTTGACTTTATATTTTATATTCACTTTCAATTAAATACTATTATTCTTTAATTTCCGTGTCCACTCCAACAAGACATCTTTTCTGGGCTAGAAAGAGTATTATCTTTACATTTTTTTTTTACCGAACTTATTAGAACTAATCAACACATTACTGATTAATCTCAATCAAATTAGAGGAAAAGGGAGAGGAGAATGGGGTCAAGTCCAATTACTACACGACAATAAGAGGCAGTTACGATGTCTCACGTCAGGACAAAGACTATAATAGATTTAAATTGTAATGAAAAATGATAGCTACAAATATATATACCAAAAAAAACATAAACAGAAACAGCCAAACAGCCCCTTAATTCATCTATCACTTCTTCAAAACTTTTTGCAGCCTTCGACTCACTGACTAACACTGATCCTCATTGCTTTTATTTAATTTGAATTTGACCTCAACTCAATTGCAATTAAATATAAACCCCAAAACCCCCCAGGCCCCCCCCCTTTCCCCACCCCACCCCACCTAATAATAAAATTTTTCCTAAAATTGATCCAAACACGCCCTAAAGCTCAAGAACCAACACCCCGCTCTATTTTCCCGGACACTCCCGGACCAAAACACCCACTCCAATCTACACCGCAAACCAACGGCGTAGATGCAGCAGGATTCAAGCTCCGGGAGCTCGTAATTATAAACAACCAAGAAATTGCACTGATTGAAGGGAAGAGGGAAAAGATAGATCTAAAGAAGAACAAAAATAATAATTAAATAAAAAAATTGTTACCTCAATCGGAGAAAGTTTTCTGAGGTAAAAAAGCTCGGGAGCTTCCGGGACTCCGCCGACGGTCCGGCCCATTTTCCGGCAGGCGTGGGAGTCCCTCACGCAGGCCCGGATCTTGGTCCAGTAGCCGGGTGAGGAAACCCGGTCGGCGAGCCAACCGGAGTAGTCCTGGAGGGAGTAGTCCTGGTAGGACCGGCTGAGAACCGGCCGGCCGGAACCCTTATCGGTGACGGCGTAAGCGAAGATGACGAATCCGATTAGGGCGACGATGATGAAGAACATCGCCCAGAGGTAGAGGTACATAAGGAAATTATTCCGGTAGCAGGCGCCGGCGAATCCGGCGAGGGAGACGACCATGATGGCGACGCCGATGATGATGATCGGCCACTGGAGGAACCGCATGCAGTCGGTGTTGTTGGCGCGGGTGCTCAGCCAGATGCCGCCGCCGAGGATGGGGATCGAGAGGAGGAACGTTAGGAAGTTGAGGAATCCGATCAGGTGGTTGCTGGTTCTCATGGCGGCGACGGCGGCGGTGGAGGTGGGGGGGAGAGGGTTTGGGGGAGCTGGGGGAGAGGAAAATTGGGGGGCGGTTTTTAATTTCTTAAAGGATTTGGCAATTATGAGAATAATAATACTAATTTATTATGATAAATAAATAATGGATGTTGGATAAGAAGGGAAGGGAAGGGAAGGGAAGGGGCGTGGATGGGCGGGGAAGGGTTTTGTGAAATGACTATAGTGCCCTCGTTTGAATGGCGACAAATTTTTATTTATTTTAGTTTTCGATTATCGTTTTGTTATTTTATTTTATTTTTTTATTTTTTAAACGTCAGCTTATGTCATGTTTTGTATTTAATTCGTTTGCAGTAGCTCCATGTTTGGCCATCATGCTAGGACCCTTCACAAATTTTATATTATGTATGATTAATTGTTGAATTAATTTTTTCAAAAAATAAAAGGGAAATTCAAAATATAATTTCGAATTTGATTTTTTCGGCTTGCCACTGTTGATCCATAAATAAACTTTTCTTGAAAACTGCTTTTCTTGACTCTCCTTAAAAATAGCGACAGCAGATTTTTACATCATTAATATATATATATAGATCCCCAAAGGATTTTTTATTTTTTTTTCTTTCTTTCCTCTATTTATTCTTTTTTGCAAAACTTGTGTAGTTAACGTATTCTTTGTCGATTATTTAAAAATGTTCTCCTATGCTTGTCTTGCATTAAATACTTCCTCCGTCCACAAACTAATGTCCTACTTTTTTATTTGGGACGTCCAACAACTATTGTCATTATATCTTTTTTAAACACAAATTTTATATTTTTACCCTTCATTCATTTATTACTTTTAATCTCTACCATACAATTAAGAGTAAATTTGTCAATTTATAACAAAAAAATAATCACATAAAAAATCGTGCAAATATACTTTAGGACAATAAAAATTGGACAGGGACTATAATTTATACCATTTATATATATGATACCAATATATTAATGTGGAAATGAATTCCAAAAGATTCAAGAAGTAATTGTTAGTTGCCTCCCATAAATATAAATAAATAAATAAATAATATGTAATTCTACGAATTTAAATTTTTAAGTGAAATAGTCATTTAATATCATCTAATATGATATCAAAATTGAAAAGTTCCATACCTATCATGCATCCTTATCAGTGAATTTGTATAAAATTTTTAATAAAAATATATTATTTTTCTACATAATATTCTACGTAATATTACATTCAAATATTATTTAAATAAAAGATCAAGCTCAAACTCAAGTCAAGCAAACTTTGTTTGTTTGGGGGTTTGGATTTTAAATTGGGATTTGAATAGTAAAAATTTTGAATTTGAATAATTGTATGATGTGATATAAATAGGTGTTGATGTGATCTTTTGAATATAAAATTAATTTTTAGTATAATATAAAAAATATAAAATAAATATTTGATTAAAATTTTTTTTTTATTTTAAAAAAGGACGAATAATGTATTTAAAATCCGCCAAACAAACACACCCTTAAGTAAACATTATTGTTGTTGAATTATTTGGTTATAAAATAATGAGGTCTATATAGTTAAACTATGTTATCATTACTGGTGTTGACCTAATTATTTGGAAGAATTAAAACATTTAGTTATACTCCCTTCGTTCCGTAATAACGGTAGCGTTTGCTTTTTCAAATAAATTTTAAATATTAGTATTTTATTGGATTATAGTAAAAAAGACAAATATACCTCTATTAGTATGATGTAATATAAAAGTAATGATATTTGTATAATATATTGTAAGTTGAAAGAGTATTTATTATGTAAAGTAGGTAGTACAATTACTAAATTAGGGAATGATAATCTTATTTTGGGACAAACGAAAATAAAAAATAGTAACCTCTCAATGGGACGGAGGGAGTACTATATTTTATGAACTTTTCCAATCTTTATATATATATATATATAAATGGAGTAGGTCTTTTTTTTTTTTTAATTATTATTAATGATCTCTACCTTTTTATTTTTAAATTAGAAATGTTTCGCAAGTATTTTTTTTATATAATTTAATTGGTTTTTTTTTTTTAGTTTACTATCTTATTTAAATCCTGATTTGAATATAATGATTTGTGAAAATACATATAAAATTACGATAATTGGATAGTAAAAACTGATATCATTTTGGCTCAAATTAATTTTCTATAAAAGATGAATTTGTCTATAAAAAATTTTTCTTTCTCTTGCATTTCTTTCTTTTTCTTTTTCTTTTTTTTTTTTAAACCTTTCTGGATAGTATATAAATAATATTTTTTCAAATATTTTAAATATTTAATTTGATGTTATAAAGAATTCTATAAATAATATAAAATTAATGACCATGTATAATATATTAATTATTTTGAAAAAGTATATATATATATTTTCAGAAAAACACACCTATGGCTCAACATTTTTTAAAGTGGGGCAAAATGGCCCAATCCAATGAGCTAAATCCATTTTAATGATCCTAGTTTCCACATTAGTTAAAAATTTTATATAAAATATATCTTACATTTATGTTTACATTAAGTTTGACATAACACATAAATTTCATGCAATTCCAAAACTACATGTGAAAGTGATATATATAATTTTTTATTAAATTAAAGATTACAAAAATAACTTTGAAAATATATGCAAAACCCACCTGAAATTTTACTACAATAATCATATAAAATCTTTTTGAAATAATGGTTTTTTTTTTCTAATAAGAGTTTAAAATTTAAATATTTTATAAAATAAATTCATCTATTTAATTGATAACCTTAATAATTATAGAGATATATATATATATAAACCAATTATTTGTGTGGGCCATGCTATGTTGGATTGGGCTGACAAAGTATTAGCCTAATTCAATATTGGGCTTGCCTGCAATTCCCAAAATATGAACTTTTCAATTAGGGTTTAACTGTGGCTTCTGCTTCGCGGATGCATAATTGAAGCAAATGCATTCGATCTTGTTACGTTTTAATGGATTTAATGCGTTCTCTATGTGGCCTATGGGATGTTATTCTGATTTGGGGTAATTGCGAGTTCAAATGTTGCTGAACGCTGCAATAATCAATCGCGATGGTTTGTGGAGTAGGTTTGTGTTAATTGTTCAGTGATCATGCTAATTGACTGATATTGAATCTTTCTCTAAATTGTTCTTGCCTTCTTTGAATTTGTGAAGTTGCAGATCGGTAGGAATGAACACGCCAAGTGTTGGAATTGAATTTATTTAAGGAAGTTTCGATTGTGTTGATATAGTTATCGAATTCTGGCTAATATTTTTTGTTGTATTTGTTCAGAATGTCATCGTTATTGTTGCATATTTTAGGCCACTATTTTATGAGGATTAGAAATTATTTTCAATTTTTTTTTGTTTTTTCATAGATTGTTTGTAAATTCTCTGTTTGGGAGTGAAGGTTGTTGATGAAGGCTTTTGGAGTTCTGATATGCTTTGATAATAAATATCATTCCTTCAGAATTTGGCATTCCTATTTCTCAATGATTCTGCAATCAATGAAGACAATTTGCTGATTTCATGAAAACCATTTTATAGAACTTCATTGGTATGTTCTTTTTTCTAAAGCAATTCGACTTTCGATTTGTGAATAATCAAGAAATACAAGATTCCCCTTTTATGTGGAAAAGGCTTGTATCAAATTATCAATCTGAGTTGAACAATTTATACTTGAATCACTTAGCTTTTTCCCACATGTTCGCGGTTTTTTGAAGCCCGACCGGATAGTTCTACTTGTTCTATTCGCCATTGCCTATATATCTTTTTATGCGTGCCTGTTATATTTGAACTTTTACATTATCCCGAGCTGCAATGGATTTCAGTATGGAAACCGGTGATAAAAACTTCTTTGTTGCAGTCACTTTTCTTCGGTACATTTGAATTTATCGAATGTTTTTCTTCACTTCTTGGATCTATTTCTTCCCTTGCATTATTAGTACAATCTGTTTTGATTAGAGAAATCAGAATTATTGTGAAGGAAGAAGAACAAGACTGGTTTCTGTAGTTTGATCTTTGCTGATAAAATCATATTGTATTGTGACATCTTTAAAATACAATGAAGGAAAAAGGGAAACAAATTTGTTTACACTTGGTGCTGAATATAATAATATATTAGTTTATTGCGATATAAATAAGTATTTTGGGAAATATAACAATTAGTCAACGAGGCGAGACAAAAATTTTGGATATAAATTAACGAGTGTGCAAGAGTTATTTGATATAAATGAAAATATATATGTTTTGTGGGCAAACAGAAAAAAGAAAAACTTGCATGGATTTGGTGGATAAAAAGAGTATCATGTTTGCTTTGTTTGATTAAATATAAGATAATATAGGTTTTAGTACAAATATTATTTGAAATAAATTAATCCCACCTATCTATTTGGATTAATTAATTTTGGGGTCTTTATGGGAAATTTATGATTATGTTAGATAAAATAATATTATACATACTAATCTCTCGTAGTAAAAACATCCAAAATATATTAATATAATATAAATACAATATATGAATTGACATTATACGATAACAACTTTAATCGTATTTAAAAAAAAATTAATATACTAATTAATTATTTTAGTTTTAATATATAATTATATTTATTATATTATAATTTTTTTACTAATATATATTAAATTTTTTACTAATTATATCCCTTTTAAATTCTTACTGTGTACAGTAATTGTGACATTATATATCTATATATATATATATATATATGCAAGAAATAGAATAAATGATTGGTTAAAGACCTAATTTGCTCAACCTAAACCCCTAATTACATAACAGATCCTCCTAATCCAAATTTAAATCATTCCCCAATACTTTAATAATAATAATAATAAAAAATTTATTATTATTATAATTATCATTACCAATAGTCAAAATTTGTGTTTCCAGAGTTGCTACTGCAGTGTGATTGTGATATTATTATTATTATTATTATTATTATAAGAGATTTGATGCCACGCCCAAATCTGTTGTTGGATTTGGTGTTCCCATTGGAACAAGTGCAGTTATCCCTTTCATATAATTGATAAATTATTATTATTATTATTATTATTATTATTATTATTCTTCCTGGAACATTCAACATTCCCATTACCATATTTTAATAATCAGCCAGTAAGATATAGAGAGACTGAAATCTGATCTACCTAAAAACAAGAAACAATGATGATCATAATGTATGTTATAGAATATACTCCTCCGTCCCATATATTAAGGGTCTATTACTGTTGATACGAAAATTTAGGTAAAGTGTAGATACAGAAATTTAGGTAAAGTGTGATTAGTAAGTAATTAACAAGTGTATTAGTAAAAATAATTATTATATAATAAAAATAATTGTGGATTAAAATTAAGATAACTAAATAGTTCAATTAAGATTAAAAAAATTATAAAATTTAAAATTTAAAATAAAATTAAAGTGTATGGTTATATTTCTAAAAAAGGAATGGACAAATTATGTGGAACGGACGAAAATAGAAAATAGAGACAAATTATATGAGATAGAGGGAGTAAATATTTCTTGAAAATAACCTAAGACCTAATACACAAATATATATATATATATTTGTATATTCCTACCAGTTACCACTACATGCACTGCACTACACTGCTGTCTAATTGTTTATAGCAGGCAGCAAATATTAAATAATTAATTAAATAATTTGTTTCAACCAGAAAGAGAAACACAGAGAATGCCATTGTCAAGAATATTGTCCTGAAGCAGAATCTGTTCAGACACAACTGAAAGAAAGAAAGAAACCATGAAACATCAGTGTCACCACAAAGAATTCTCTCATACTCATCACTTTCTCTTTCTCACTCCTAACTTAATCTATCCATCTATATATATATATATACATATATTTTTTTTTTGATATTTTGTTTATAGATATTAATTTAGGATGTATTTTAAAATTTACAGACAATTTCTACAAGTAGTAAAAAAAGTAAATATAAAATAAGCGTTGGATTTGATTTTTTGAATAAAGGATAAGTTTTTGGTATAATATTTTACATAAACAATAGATATTAAGTGTGATGCTTCTTGAAAAAGAAACAATAGATGAATAGTTTAAAAATAAATTGGGAAAATAAGTGGCCAAAGCAATAGGATATAAATTTGTTGGATATATAGGGTTTGTTCAAATATTAAATATAATATTTTATATAAAAAAATAAGTATTGAATAAATATCTTTTAAATTAAGTGAAAAAATGAATATTAAATAGCTTTTTAACTAAATTTCCTAATTTAAGCTCCAATTCAAACTGAGTTTGTTTCATAAATAATAAATTTCTTTTAGATAAGATTTTTGGATAATTTTACGAGAAATAGTAAATATTCAATATGATGTCTTGTTAAATAAATTAAATAATTTTTTATATTTTTATTTTTGTTAAAAAAAAAAAAAGTGTAGCAAAAATTGTTATGAATTTTCTATCAATATTCAAACTGTAGATGTGAAAGAGATCAATTTATTCATTTGACAATGTAAACAATTTTTTATGGAGACAATTCATACCAAATTCACTTTATTACAGCTCTTACTCCATTATAAATTAAATATATAAACTAATAATAATAATAATAATAATAATAATAATGAAATTAACAAGAACACACAGCAAATATGGGGTGAGAGAAGTGAAGTTCCATTAGTTTGTCATCAAACAAAATAAAAGTTATATAACAAAAACCATTATAAAGAAAGAAAATTAAATTAAATAAAGAAAGACAGAAACAAATAAACTTAAAAAAAAAAAAAAAAAAAGAAAGCCAAGCCATTAAATTAATTAAACCCCCCCCCCCCCCCCCCCCTTTTCGTTGCTGTTTCTTCAAGAAATTAAAATCAAACAACAATGGCTGCCATTAACAAACCCTAATTGATGTTCGACATAAGAGGGGGGCTATTCAGAAGTCCCTGCCAATTCGACACCCCTATTCCACTGATCCACGCGCCACCGCCTCTGCCGGACTGATCAAACTCCGCGGCTGCGCCGCCGTCCCCACTCTGCCACGGAAACCCCCAAAACCCCCTCTCGCCGCCGCAAATCTCCTGCTTCACTCCAAATCCCTGATCATACAAATTCCCTCCGCCTGCGGCGGCGGCGCTCTCCAATCCGTAGCAAATATTCTGGAAGCAATTGGGCGGCGCTGGCGGGGTTTCGAGAAACCCGTTATTTCTAACTAGGGTTTCGAACATACTCCCGCCGGAATGTTCCGCCGCCGCCTGCGGCGGCGGAAACTGATGGTTCCCCCAAATTGAATCGTCGAAGCCTAGGTGGGCCTGCTTCTGGAGGCGGGCGATGGCGAGGGTGAGGTCGCCGGAGTAGTCGCCGGCGGCGGGGATGGATTGTCTGGAGGAGGAGTTGGAGGAGGAGGTGGTGGCGGCGGCGGAGGAGGTGGAATTGGAGGACGAGGATCGCTTGTTGCGGCGGCAGCCGCCGCCGACGGGGACGTTCCGGAGAGTGCCGCCCTTGGTCCAGTAGCGGCGGCAGGATTTGCAGAAGTAGCGGGGCTGGGAGAGGCTGTAGTTATTGTAGTAGCAGAATTTGGTGTTGGTGGAGTCGCAGCGAGGGCATTTTAGGGATTGCTCATCTGCTGGTCTTGGCTTCTTTTCTTGCAATTGGGGTTTTACTTGCACTTGCAGCATGCTTTCTAGGGTTTCAGATCCTCCCTGCAACTCATCGAAATCGAAATTGAAATTAGAATTTTGGAATTGGGTTTCGGACAAGAAGAGCTTTTAATTTATTACATAAATTGAAATTGGAATTGAAATTGGGTTTTGGACAAGAAAGATCTGGTTTTTAGGGTATGTTTTCGGGGAAGAAGAGCTTAATTTCTTATATATATATTGAAATTGGGATTGGAAATATGCTAAAATTCGATTTTGAATTATAATCAATTAAAGATATATATGTACAGATGTATATATATATATATATAGAGAGAGAGAGAGAGGGGGGAAAAGGCGAGTACCTGAATTTGAACCTGATGGCGATGATGAATGAGTTGTGCTGTTGAAGAATCCATACCCTAAAAACACACCACTACTGTTTTTCTGTTTCTCTCTCTCTTACACACACTTGGTTGATATCTGCAAATGTTTGTTTCCCACCTCCCCTTGTTGGAATAACTGATGATATCTCCAGATTATGTGTCTGTGAGCTTGGATCTGAGAAGCTGCAGCTGTCTCTCTCTCTCTCTCTCTCTCTCTCTCTCTCTAGATATGGATATAGGTATGAGAAGGGTTTAGAATGTTGGGGAAGAAACAGTAGAAGGGAAGACAAACTGGCTACAATACAAGGAGTAAGGACCCCATATATATATAGAGAGAGAGAGATATAGATATACTAGAAGACATTAAGAACAGAATAGAGAGAGAGAGAGAGAGAGAGAGAGGTGGCGTTTGTTGGTGTAGATAGAGAAAGAGGTGAGTGTAATGATTACAAAGATTGTACTGGGGATGTGTGTGTAATGAGAGAGAGAGAGAGTAATAAAATAAAAATAAAGCAAGTGTGTGAGGTATTGTTGTAATAAGTTGATGAGAGAGAGAGAGAGAGAGAGAGTTGTATGTAATTTGTATTTGTATTGTAGAGAGAGAGAGAGAGAGAGAGAGAGAGAGAATGAGTGAGTGACGACAAATTAAAGGGATTTGGGATTGAGATTTGGTTGTGTCAGAAGAAGAGTTGGAGTGGGTCCCACAGGCGTGGGAAGGTCTGTCTGTCCCTCACCTTAGTTTAGTTAAGAAAAGGCGGGCCCCACATTTTACATTACAAACATTTACATTTACGGTGGGCTCCACACCCCGCGATTTTTTCGTTTTCGCCCGCTCTTGTCGCGCTTCATTTTCGATTTTCCCATTCTTATTTCCAGCCTCAATTAAACATTATTATTACTACTTTGGCCGTTCAACTGTGTTCTCATTCGATTGAATACAAATTTTAAGAAAAATAGATAAAGATAAAAAAAAAAAAATTATTTTTTTAAATAAAAAAATAGAAAAAATAATATATTTTTATATTAAAAAAACAAGAATAAATCTGGACATCTTGGAATAATTCGATTATAAATCAATATACATTCGAGGATATACCAATTTAAGAGAAGTTAAACTAATCAGCGCTGATTACATAATATAGGGTGTGTTTGTTTGGGAGTTTGGATTTTAAGTTGGGATTTGAACGGTAAAAATTTTGAATTTGAATAATTGTGTGATTTGATATAAATAGGTGTTGATGTGATGTTTTGAATGTAAAATTGATTTTTAGTATAATATAAAAAATGAAAAATAAGTGTTTGATTTGATATTTTTTGGGGAAAAATAGGATGAACAGTGAAAATCTAATCCAATCCCCCAAACAAATACACCAATGATAACCCGCAACTCCTTTCAACTCATACCTCTACAATGATTTACTTTCGAAAGTTCCTTCACAAGTTTACGTTGTCACAGACTCGTACCGACAACTGCCACAGAGCAGGACAGCTTAAAATTTGGATATCTCTTCTGATTGGATCTTCGTTAACCCCTTCATCCGACAAACTTTTTAGCTGGTTAAAGTGATTAACACTCATTTAGAACTTGAAAAAGAGAAATGGCAAGGTTTGAGAACATCGAACAACTCTTTCTCTCACTAAATAAATCTCTCAAAATTCTTACCACAATAAAAAAAACTCACCTTGGTTTAAAAAACAATTATCATGTTGTTTATGTAAAAACAAACTCATTAATTTCTCTTTGCACATAAATGAAATGATGTATTTCTGCAAAAATCTAATGAGAAATTGCATACCTCAACACATTCATTTTGTCCTCTGCAACCACCTACTGAAAAGAGATAAAAACAGAGCAGGATTGCAGACATACTGTTGCAGCAATCTGATGAGTCAATATTTCTGTATTTGGTACCTACATTGACAGCCAAGAGAGAAGTTTGATCATATGCCAAAACAAGTAATAGAGTATTTTTCTATTTAACATCTTCTTCTTAATTTTTTATTATTAATTCAACTAAGCCTTAAAATTTTGAAGAAATTTGAACCTAAAAAAATTTAAATGCTTAATATAATACTCCATCCGTCCCGTTAAAAAGTATACATATTTTTATTTTGGGACATTCAATTACAAAGTAGTCTTTTCATTAAATACTTTATTTTTTTCATAAATACCCCTATTTTACATCATATCATTGCTTTTATACCAAAAAAAAAAATAAAGGCAAAAATATCATTATACTATTTTTACCTACCTACTATAATTAAAATATTATTATTTTTTAAATTTTAGGCCAAAAATAATATATATTTTTTATTGAAAAATAAATATATACTTTTTACTTGGACGGAAGGAGTATTTTATTAAAAATAAATAAATAATCAATTTGATATTTTTTAAAAAATTATATTCCTATGCAAACAGATATTTTTAAATATACTTTGAAAAATGTTTTGAATTTTGTAATGATAGATGTATAATAATGTGACATTTAATAGATAATATATTTTATAATATTATATTATTTTAAGTAGAAAAAAATTAATATAAAATAATTTTTAAAGAAAACTTTTCATGGATTGAGTAATTAAAACCAATATAGAAATATAACAAAATAAATAAATATATATACATAATAACAACAAAAATAATGATGAGGAATAGTGGAATACGTGCAATATGTGACAATGTGATGTCCAACACTCATAATTAGGAATTTCAATAATCATTGTTACGTTTTATATATATACATATATATAATAATAATTCTTACTCCGTCCCATAACTATATATTCGATTGTTTTTACACAAAATTTAAAAATATTAATATTATATAATGATATAATAGAAATAAAATAGAAATGACTAAAATAATTTTATTAATATTGTGTGACATAAAAATAATAATATTTATATAATATATAATATTAGATAGATAGTCCAATTTATTTAAAATATATATATATATATATATATTATGGACAGACTAAAATATTTTATTATTTGTTTAGAAGCAAAGGTTATTCCGTGGACATGACACGTCCTCTCTCTCAATCATGCTACCATTTCTTTTATGTCAAGCTATACCTCCATTCTTTCCTCATGCACACACACACACACACATATATATATATATATATATATAAATGTATATGCATGGCATTGGTTCTAATTTATTACTCCCTTCATCTCATGTAATATGGGTGTATTACCGTAGACACGAGAATTTAGGTAAAGTATAATTAATAAGTAATTAAAAAATATATTAGTAAAAATAATTATTATTTAGTAAAAATAATTATAGATTAAGATTAAAATAAGTAAATAGTTTAATTAAAATTAAGAAAATTATAAAATTTAAAATTTAAAATGCTATTAAAGTGTATAATTATATTTCTAAAAATAGAAAAGACAAGTTATGTGGGGGGACGAAAATAGAAAATAAGGACAAATTATGTGGGTCAGGGGAGTAAATTGTATGGATATAAATATTACTCTTTAGGTTTGGTAAATTTAGCCTCATTTCTTGTAAAAATTACAAAAAAAAAAAAAAACGAGATTAAATTTCTTGAATGGAATAAGTATATAATTGTTGTCAAATAATATGTGTTTTTATTTATATATATATATAATAAAAAAGATCAGTGAATATATTGATATTAGAAGAACACCTGCAGTGGCCGGAACTAGAATATTAATAGAGAGTGAGACAAAAATTTTAAATTTACAAAATAAAATTTTTATTTGTAAAATAATACTACTATCATCTACTTAATAATTTTATATTTGCTTTTGCATACTAATATTGAATATTAATTATTATATCGAATATAGTCCAAATAAAAAAAAATACAATCTTTTTTATTAGTAAATATTTATATATTATATTTTGGAAAAAAAAAATAAATGTACTTTCTTATTTAAAAAAAAAAAATCAACACTTTGATGTTTTTATTATTATTTTATTTATTTTTAATATTTTCTATAGATTATATACATATATATTATTCTTTTAAAAATAAAAAATAATAATAAAATAGAATAAAAGTGGAGTTAGGAATGGACAACCCTTGCCCCTTGATAGGTCAGCCACTGAACACCTGTACAAACAAACAAGCTCGTCCAAAAATCAGTTCACAAACTCATACTCCCTATGTTCCAGTTAATTTGTTCATCTTAGCTGGGACACATAATTTTATTTTATATACCGTGTAATTAGTAAGTAATTAAAAAATATATTAGTAAAAATAATTATTAGATTAATATGACTAAATAGTTTAATTAAAATAAAAAAATTATAAATTATGAATTTTAAAATATGATTAAAGTATATAATTATATTTCTAAAGAAAAAAGACAAATTTTGTAGGAATGACAAAAATAAAAAGAAAAAACAAATTTAGTGAGACGGAGAGACTACAAATCATGCAAATAAACAATATACGTTGGGCCGGGCATACCCAAAAAAGCAAAAAAATATGCCCTAAGCAACGCCATTGCTACTCCGAACACACCCAAAGAAGCTCTCCGAAACACCTTTCATGAGACGGGTAGACAAGTCGAATTGGGCAATCTCATTATGTCTGAAATTCCGACATCGTGCAATAGAATAAAAAAATAGACGAGTTCTAATCAGCCATCAAGAAGTTTGAAATCCCGGGGCATCGTATAATAGAATCAACAACTAGATGAGTCTTTGCCAGCTATAAAATTTTGAATCGAAATAATTATTTGATGTGATATAAATATGTGTGGATATGATTTTTTGTATGCTAAAATTTATTTTTAGCACAATTTAAAAGAATACAAATAAATATTTTATTTGATATTTTAATGTTGGTAAAATTAATGAATTATATAACATTTACTACAATAATATAATATATTTGTAACGAAAATTCGTTCCTAAAGTTCACGTAGCTAACGTAATTCCATTCCTAATTTCATCTCTAATGTCATTAGTAACGGAAAAAGTAGATTTAGAGACAAAAATGTTTTATTACAATAATGATTTTTTTCTTATAGTGATTTTAGTAGAAAATTATAAGAACATCAATCTAAATAGATTTGAAGCAAACTTTTTTTTTATTATTTCAAAAAATAAAAAATATATAATCTATTTGAGGGGTAATATTATTGATAGATGATTAAAAGTGATAATGAATAATATGATGAGCTTTAGGTTGATGACAATTAGGAATTTATTTTACTCAATTAGTTAATTAACACTTTGTTTTGATCTTTTCACTTTATATATATATATATTTTTTTTTTAGTTGGGTACGAGAAATTGTATTGATAATATAAAAAAATATTTTATCTATTATCAAATTGTGTGATCAAATATTGGGATATGAATTTTAATAAAAGTATGTAATGGT